TCAAAATTAGAGCTCCTTAAGATTAAAATATTAGCTAATGTGATATCAGAAGAATAGTTATAATCGATGAAACTAAATAATAATTGAGAATTAATACCACTTTCTTCGATCAGTTTGGTTTTAAAAATTGAAGTTTAAAATTATGCTAAAATATTTTTATATCGATTATCTGATGATACGACTTCTTCTCCTGTCTTAACATCATATAAACGGATAGAAATTCGTATTCCGGCCGTAGGGGCTTGTGAAAACATCCTGCTCCGGCCGTACTGGCTAGGAAAATTTACCCATGCTCCGGCTGTGCTGGCTAGGAGAATTTAATCCATGCTCCGGCTGTACTGTCTAGGAAAATCAAAGCTAGCAGTAATGGCTAGGAAAATTTATTTGAAGTACTAATGTTTGACAGGTGGTAGCGTACCGATATTGGTAAATTTGAAATTTCCCAAGTAAGCCCATGAAATTCAATTTTTGTTTAATAGAAGGACAATGCAAACTAATATCATTTTTTTTCTTGGTTCTTGTTTACTAGATAAAATTATCCTCAAATTCCTTTTTTTGTTTTTGCTGAATAAAGAATAAATATATTGAATGAAAATTTATTTATTCTTCAGTATAAATTATTAATTGAAATAAATTGAATGTAAATCTGGTTCAATTACTTTATCATAATAAAACTATGCTTTGGAAAAATATTCTTTGAAAAACTATTGAATATGAAGTAAGAAAATTTTAAGGAATATTCATTTATGTGAAATAGTTTAAGTAGAGTGTATCATAAATCTTTCTTTGTTCAATCATGTAAACTAAATATAACTCTTTAGGATATAAATTTCTCCATGCTTCAGATTCTTGATATTCAAAGATCAGATAGAAATGTAGTAATAACTTTTCCCGGAGTAAGGGATTAAATTTTATTCAAAGATTCTTTTAAAATATGTATGATATTTTTTTAATTATAATCAATCTTATTGTAATTCTTTAAAGTTTTCTAAAATCAAGCCTCCCTTAGATTTAAATAAGGGTTTTAAATCATAACCTGAATAATTTTTAATAACTCCTTACAAAATAAAAGCTCCTTAAGCCTCCAAAATTGAATTTTGGCATATTCTTAGTATTGTACAATCAATCTCAACTAAAGATAATATTAATAAATACTATTGGTTAAAATTGACTGATTTTATAGTGGCAATTTGAACTAAGAAAGAAAGTGTTGGTAAAAATTATGATGAGGTAGAAACTCTTTGGCTTTCTTAACATCCCATAAACGGATAGACATATCATCACTACCAGATGCTAATGCAGTACCATCAGGAGAGTAAAAAATTGAATAAACTGTTCCAGAATGACCATCTAATTTGGCTGTTTATTATCCTGTCTTAACATCCCATAAACGGATAGACATATCATCACTACCAGATGCTAATGTAGCACCATCAGGTGAGTAGCAAATTGAATTAACCCAATTTGAATGACCATATAATTTGACTTTTGATTATCCTGTCTTAACATCCCATAAACAGATAGACTTATCTGAACTACCAGATGCTAATATAGTACCATCAGGAGAGTAAGAAACTGTATAAACTGTTCCAGAATGGCCATCTAATTTGGCTTTTGATTATCCTGTCTTAAAATCCCATAAACGGATGGACTTATCCAAACTACCAGATGCTAATGTAGTACCATCAGGAGAGTAACATATTGAATAAACTGCTCTAGAATGACCATCTAATTTGGCTGTTTATTATCCTGTCTTAACATCCCATAAACGGATAGACATATCATCACTACCAGATGCTAATGTAGCACCATCAGGAGAGTAACAAATTGAATTAACACAATTTGAATGACCATCAAATTTGGCTTTTTATTATCCTGTTTTAGCATCCCATAAACAGATAGACTTATCTGAACTACCAGATGCTAATGTAGTACCATCAGGAGAATAAGAAATTTTATAAACTGTTCCAGAATGACCATATAATTTGGCTTTTGATTATCCTGTCTTAACATCCCATAAACGGATAGAGTTATCTGAACTACCAGATGCTAATGTAGTACCATCAGGAGAGTAAAAAATTGAATTAACTGCATATTGATGACCATCTAATTAAGCTTTTAATTACCCTGTCATAACATCCCATAAACGGATAGATTTATCATCACTACCAGATGCTAATGTAGTACCATCAGGAGAGTAACAAATTGTTTTTACATAATCTGAATGACCATCTAATTTAGCTTTTTATTATCCTGTTTTAGCATCCCATAAACGGATAGACTTATCTCCACTACTAGATGCTAATGTAGTACCATCAGGAGAGAAATTGACTGACATTACAGAACTAGAATGACCATATAATTTGACTTTTGATTATCCTGTCTTAACATCCCATAAACGGATAGAGTTATCTGAACTACCAGATGCTACTGTAGTACCATCAGGAGAGAAATTGACTGACATTACAGAACTAGAATGACCATCTAATTTAGCTTTTTATTATCCTGTCTTAACATCCCACAAATGGATAGTATAATCTCCCCCACCATTTTCTGATCCACCACTAGATGCTAATATAGTACCATCAGGAGAGAAATTGATTGACATAACTTTTTTAGTATGACCCTCTAATCCTAATCTGACTTTTTATTTTCCTGTTCTTAGATTCAATAAATACAAAAATTCTTAACTGCTGAATACTAATGTATTATTATTAGGTGAGAAGCATAATTATTTTACCTCCCATTTTCCCCTGCTTCTAAACTTTTTTTTCCCAGTTTAAACATCCCACAAAATAATTGAATTATCATCACTACAAGACGCTAATGATTTACCATCTGAAGAAAAGCATACCTAATAAACTTTTCTATAATGCCCATCTAGTATATTTAATTCATGTATTTTGATATTTTTCCATTTGCAATTAAACATTTAAGCTTAATTCAAGTTTATTCCACTAATATCTACATTGTCAAATTCTGATTCATTGAAATTGCATCCTACAAAATTTCCACCCACTAAAGAGGAATCTCTAATCTTGATATTCTCAAAACTTTATTCCCTCACATCAGCCTTCATCTAAACTAACAGATGAAGAGAATTTGATCCACATTAAGTGTATCTCTCATCTAAAGCAGTCAGATGAACTAAAAATTTGAGAAGATCTATAATTTTATTATCCCACGATATTTTTACAATTAGATCCTTTTTAATTACCTCATAATCATCTGTCGAGTAATTTTGTTTATTAAATTCATGATCCCTAATTTTTTTGAGAATATCCGTTATTCTCTTAATGTTCTTCTCTCCATTGAGAGTCTATTATTTATCAAGCAGAAATAAATTTTCTACATTTTATCTTTCTATTTCTAAAAGGAATTTATTTTGATCTTATGAGAGAAATTCTAGGCAATCTTAAATTCTATCATTTTTTAATATATTTATGAGGATAGGGAGGACTACTTCATCAACCTATTTGAATAAGGCCAAAACCTTATACAACTCTCCAACTTACTCTTTTTTGTTGTGCATCTACTTTTTTTTAAAATATTATCTAATTTCTATTACTTTATTTTGAGTTTTATAATCCAAACCAAAAAGAACCTTACGTTAATTGGTTTGAACGATATATGAATGTTTTAGATTTTTGGAATTGATGTAAGTTTTAAAAGGGGAAACTCACATAACCTTGAGCAAAATTGAACTCTTAAAGAATATAGAATAAAAAAATTTATTAACAAAATCAAATAATAATTAAATTTTTGATAACGAATTACTTAAACTTACAAAGGGTTTTTCAAGTCTAAGAAAGTTTGAGTGAAATATTTTTTTAAAACAAACTTTTAACTTAATTAAGATTAATTTCAAGCTACTTTCACTTTTGACTGATATATATATAATTTCTAGAAGGTGAAATCCTCCAATTCCATAATCTACTTCACAAAACTCATAGCAATTTGTCAATCTATAATAAATACAAGATTAGACTAAATTTGACTCAGTTTTGTTTCTATCTTAGTTCTTTCTCTAAATTGATACTACCTTTAGATGTAAATAATGATCGTAATCATATCCTTTATAATCGTCAAACTCTCCTTTAAAGATTTAAGCTCTTTAAACTTCTAAATTGGGGTTGTAGCAAATTTTTAGAATGGTAATATAAGAGGTAGAGAAGAATAGTGAAAAATAAATACCACTTTTTGGAAGAATATTACTATTAATCGTTGAAGGGTTAAATATGCTAGCATATCTTTCTAACGGTAATCTGAAGGTATGATTTGTTGTCCTGTCTTAACATCCAATAAACGGATAGAGTTATCATGACAACCTGATGCTAATGTAGTACCATCAGGAGAGTAACAAATTGAACAAATTGTTGATGAATGACCATCCAATTTAGCTTTTTATTATCCTGTCTTAATATTCCATAAACGGATAGATATTCGTATTCGGTTGAAGGAGCTTGGGAAAACATCCATATTCCAGCCGTACTGGTTAGGAAATTTAATCCATTGCATACATGGAATAATTCTCTGATTATCTATTTAAATCATAAGTTCTAACTAAAAAATAGAGTAATAGGCAACATTGAGTAAAATGAAAGGTAGTAATAAGCAAACAACAATTAAAAATAATTTCATTTTATATTGCTCAAGGTAAGATTATCATTATCATTTAGTATTTTAGTAGATGAATAAGTTCGGATAGATTTTTGATACCCCATTTTCTGCCAGAGAGTATGAGCCAAATCTAAATCGGATATATAAAGTCTACTTTGTTATCACAATTCATTATTCTCAGTCGATAGCATATACATTTTATAGCGTAGATGAATAATAAAAATAGGGTAAATTTGTATTAGAAAAATTCCTCCCAAAATGTGATCTCCACTTAAATGTTTATAAAATATAAGTATGAATCATTTAAAAGCAAATTTTCTTCTCTTTCTTAGATCATTACAGAAGCTTAAAAATAAATGTTTTTTCCTTTTTCTGAACAGTTAGCAATAATTTAGAAACAGTCTCAGGTTTATATAAAGGATATTACTAAGCAAATCTATATGGTTGTTGTTAAAATAAATGTCCGTAATGTTATTGTCAGTCTCCTTATAAGTAAAATATATGATTAGAATATAGTATCTTTAACTTTCAAATTAACCTATTAAGCATCAGACTACCATGATAATTTTCGTTTAGGTTAAATCAGTATTTGTTCTTAGTGGAAATCTCGAAAGATCTACAGGAAATGTTGTGAATATTAATAGGATTTAAATTTTAAGACTGCATAATTTTTAAACATACTTTTATAATGAAGATGGTTTAATGCAATACAAGCAGTTAAACTGATTCAACAGTTTACTAATTTTTATGCGAATAAAGTGGCAATACTCGTTATTCTTGTCTTTATTCACTGTCAACTTCTTCCATTATTCAATTACTCCTTAAGAATAATTGTTTTAGATTCCCTGCTAAACTAATTAGGAAACTAAAATAAGATAATAAAGTTTACATTCATTTATATTTCAATATTGGGAATTTCTTTTTGTAAATATCGTCAAGTCTTTATTTACTAGATTGTCAAAGTTAAATGAAAAGCCCTTAGAAAGGAAGTATTATTCATAAACCTTTTAGAATGAATTATCATAAATTATTATTTTATGTATTTTTAAAGAACTAAAAGCGAACGTATTCTGTTTAATCAATAATCTAAATCCTTACTAAAGATATTTGAATAGTATATGATATGACGATTTTCATAAATTTTTTCTTCAACTTTTTTTCATAATTATGAGATAATAAAGAAAATTTTTAAAGTATATCTAAGATATATCAAACAGATGAGTTGCTGAAATGTTCAAATGTATTGCCATTGCAAATAATAAAGAATATTGCTCTAGATTTCAAAATTATAGAATGTATTAATTCAGTAATTATTTTATTTTAAGAATCTACTGCTTCATGCTTGATTTTTATTTCCTCCTTAGCTATGTTAAATTTCAGTCTAAAATTTGATCAAAATCGTATGTATTTGATGGTAAGGATCAGGAATCATTTTGAATAAACAATGCTTTAAGATTTAGTATTTTGATCCTTGGATATTGAAGTTGAATTAGGATACTAAATACTAATGTTCAGATTTGTAGAAGGCATCCTATTATTTGAAACAATAATTCTTTATTTATAACGCTCTTCAAACAAACATCTTTTAAGGATCAAATGTGAAAATCAGTCAAAAAGCTAATTAAAATTAAAAATTTTAAATTAGCTAGAAACTTTTGAAAAAAGCATAAGTAGAAAATAATTAATATAATGCAATTTAAAAAGTAATGATAAGTTATCTTCTTTTGGATAACTAAATTGAGGAAGGCTATCAGCTTAGGAAGCCTTTTAATTGAAATCTGATAGATTCCTCTACTCTGTAATTTAAATGATAAATATTCAATAAATATATTTACAAAATTTTCTTTATAAACATCATTTGGCATTCTATTTATTTCTAATCATCAATTGATTGAATATATACATATAGTCATAATCTCATTCAGTTATCTAGCCTTTGTTCTACAGAAAACCTTCAGATAAGATAATAAAAGCAAAATCTACTTTTAAGGTTAGTTAAGTAAGAAACACAACAGCAGCTAACCATGATAATTTTTGACTAATACCCTTTATATATAAATTTTACATTCTAGATATTAGCACATAAGTGAATTGTAATTTTTGCTAAAATAATCATAATCTATTATTCTAAAAAATAAAAGTAACGGTCTTTGTCTTTAGAGCAACTGTTAATATTCTCATGAATATTGCATGTAATGCTTGAAATAACTACATCATATCATATTAAAAATTGCAAGAGCTTTAACGAGATTGAAATATTAATAGCCAAATAGATCTCATTACAAAAGGGAATGGAAACTTAATTATTACAAATAACAACATAAGCATCAGATTTATTAAATAGATTAGGGATACTAATAAATAAAATTCTCAATCGAACTAGTTTACAAATTCTATACAATAGAGGTCATACTCAAATGAAAATATTCAAATTATTAAAAACATCTAAGATTAAAAATCCAAAATAAAATTTGATAAGTAAATTCTTTATTATGAATTTTAGGAAAACCCTATCACATTGTACACTTAATGTAAGAATTAATATATAATTAACAGTAGAAATTTTTGAGATAGACTAAGATCGGATAAACAAAAGGATAATATATAAAACGAAAGATAGTAATTGATATGTTTTAGAAAAGTATTAAAGGTTTAGGCAAATTGCTAATTAATATTAATTTTTAAATTTTAATATGTAAATCTTAAGATTCGAATTTTAAACGATAAACTATTAGCTAATATTTTTAGTTTAGGTATTAATTTAATTTGAGAAGTATTTTTTAGCTTAATCATGGGGATTAGAAGAAGCACAAAAAATCATAAAGAAAAATATTAAATATTGTTAGGAAACATATTATGTTCGATTAAAACTTGCTTATGCTCAAGGATCAAAGGTTTTTTGTAAATTTATAATCTAAGGTAATGATTTAATAGAAGCATAAACAATTAATGATCTAAATATGTTTGTAAATGGAGAAATAGTTATTCCTTTCCATTAAAGGTTAAATTTTGTAATTATTTAGCTATATATTAAAAATACATTATATTTGGAAAAATTGTATTTAATGCTTGATCAAGCAATTAATTTAGATCCATTTACAGTGTAGTTGTACTATAGTAAAGGTGTTAAAGTCTTGTTACTGATCAACTCTAGCACTATTTACAAATATGTAAATGAAAAATTTAATCCTAATTGCATAATATAATGAAGCAATTATGAACTTGGTGCAGATAGATCACTTCACTTTTTAAGGGTTTAAAATTATTATATTTAAATTGGGTTATAAAAAAAAAGTGGATCTTTATCAAATTAATGAATTAAAATGACTAATCAATCTGATTAATCGATTTTAGAATTTAATAAAGCAATTAAATTTGGAGAAAAAGATTCTTACTTGCATAAAATATTATTATTTAATCAGCTTCAGCATCATTTAAAATTAGAATTAACAATAATTTAATTGATCAAACATCAAGATGAATAAGCAATAAAAGAATTTGAAAAAGCAAAAGATTAGGATTTGAAAGTGCTCAAATATNAATAGCCAAATAGATCTCATTACAAAAGGGAATGGAAACTTAATTATTACAAATAACAACATAAGCATCAGATTTATTAAATAGATTAGGGATACTAATAAATAAAATTCTCAATCGAACTAGTTTACAAATTCTATACAATAGAGGTCATACTCAAATGAAAATATTCAAATTATTAAAAACATCTAAGATTAAAAATCCAAAATAAAATTTGATAAGTAAATTCTTTATTATGAATTTTAGGAAAACCCTATCACATTGTACACTTAATGTAAGAATTAATATATAATTAACAGTAGAAATTTTTGAGATAGACTAAGATCGGATAAACAAAAGGATAATATATAAAACGAAAGATAGTAATTGATATGTTTTAGAAAAGTATTAAAGGTTTAGGCAAATTGCTAATTAATATTAATTTTTAAATTTTAATATGTAAATCTTAAGATTCGAATTTTAAACGATAAACTATTAGCTAATATTTTTAGTTTAGGTATTAATTTAATTTGAGAAGTATTTTTTAGCTTAATCATGGGGATTAGAAGAAGCACAAAAAATCATAAAGAAAAATATTAAATATTGTTAGGAAACATATTATGTTCGATTAAAACTTGCTTATGCTCAAGGATCAAAGGTTTTTTGTAAATTTATAATCTAAGGTAATGATTTAATAGAAGCATAAACAATTAATGATCTAAATATGTTTGTAAATGGAGAAATAGTTATTCCTTTCCATTAAAGGTTAAATTTTGTAATTATTTAGCTATATATTAAAAATACATTATATTTGGAAAAATTGTATTTAATGCTTGATCAAGCAATTAATTTAGATCCATTTACAGTGTAGTTGTACTATAGTAAAGGTGTTAAAGTCTTGTTACTGATCAACTCTAGCACTATTTACAAATATGTAAATGAAAAATTTAATCCTAATTGCATAATATAATGAAGCAATTATGAACTTGGTGCAGATAGATCACTTCACTTTTTAAGGGTTTAAAATTATTATATTTAAATTGGGTTATAAAAAAAAAGTGGATCTTTATCAAATTAATGAATTAAAATGACTAATCAATCTGATTAATCGATTTTAGAATTTAATAAAGCAATTAAATTTGGAGAAAAAGATTCTTACTTGCATAAAATATTATTATTTAATCAGCTTCAGCATCATTTAAAATTAGAATTAACAATAATTTAATTGATCAAACATCAAGATGAATAAGCAATAAAAGAATTTGAAAAAGCAAAAGATTAGGATTTGAAAGTGCTCAAATATCAATCATTAAAGGTATTAAATATATTATTTAAATTAGGCTTAGCAATATTTAACAATTTAGAATTATTAAAAATAAATTCTTTTTAAATTAAATACATCAACAATAAATAAATTTGATGTATCAATTTAATTAGATCCATAAAATGTTGAATATTACAATTCTAAAGGTTAATAATTATGTTAATTAGTTCATGCACTATTTGAAAGTATTTAAGTAAAATTTATTCAACTAGAGATATATATAAACAAGCAATTTTTAAGATTTCTCAAGCCACAAATTAAGCACAAATAATTCCATTTTATTCATTAATATTCTTGTAGATAATATTCTAAGTTAAGTGGTTAAACTTTTGATCCAGCCTAAGATTCTTCGTTCTGTTATTTAAGCCTAAGTTGAAAATAAAGGCTGGTATGCAAGACTTTAATTTCCTTGAATAAAGATCCTTTAGTAAAATACAAAAGGCTTCTATTGCACCATTTTAAAATAATGTGAGAAAAATATTTCAGATTCTAAAATTTTCTTTCTAAATCATATTGACTTACTTTTTACCCATTTTATTGATAAGATTTGGATATTATTAAAATATTCTTAATAAATTAGTTTAGTTTAAAGCAATTTAGCATTAGTTTATTTTGAAATCTACTTTTATTTTGCTGTGAATTAAATTTGTTAAAATAATTATTAACATTCAAATAACTCTGAATAAGTAAACTATATTCTATATCGTTATATATTTTTTGGAGAAAATGTATTTCAAAACTGGTTATTTTAATTTCTATTCTTAATTTATAAGGCATGTTCCTTTTATATAGTAACTTTATCAATATATACAATTATATAACCTTGATCTTCAACCAAAAAATTCAGTCCATTTTTGCTACAATGAAGAAGCATGATTAGCCAGATGATTTCAGGTTTTCCAATTAATCTTTGATATGATGTCTTCATATATTCAATTACCAAAATTTATTTCTATTTGCTTTATAATAATTACTCTGAAACCTTTTATGTTTCTAGAAGCAATGATTTCATACTATCTCATTAATTTCAGAATTAGAATTAATTAATTGAGATTTTTCAATATTTAAATAATCAAAATATATTATTATGTAAACATCAAAAACATAAAGAAAATTTGTCAAATCCACAAAATAAAGATTATAGCAGTCGATTTGAAATCCTAAACTGGGATTGATGACCAAATATTTATGCGCAAGGTGCTTAACTGAAAAGTTGATAAATAAAATATAAAACTGCTCAATGATGCAAAAAGCAATGATTAAAGCATGAGATCATAATCCTAAAATGTTGAGAAGGAAGAAAATTTGCTAAGACTTAATATTTTTAAAGAATTGTAATCATCTATAAAGTCAATTAAAAATTACATAAAGACAGAACTTGGAAAAATGTTTAATTTGATTGATTAATAAATAGGATAGATCCAAAATGTAATAGAATCAAAGGAAATAAAATAAGAAAATTAAAATTATGATGAAGAAATTTAAATTCTTACAAAAAATTATATCGGAAACTTTAGCTATCTAAGAAATCAAGCAATTAAAGGATTACCTCAACCTTTAATTATAATAAGTTTTGATCTCAATTGATGAACAGTTAATTAAGAATAAAATAAGGCATTAGTGATGCCATTAAATTAGGGAATAAATAAATATTTCAGTTTGAAGAAAAATAAGTTGAAAAAATTATGGAGGTATTAAGTTAAAATAATTCAAATAAATATATTATTTACTAAAAGTGAGACAAGATAAACTTGATTATTTATTTTATCAATTAGCAAATCTAATTAATCATGATTTGTTTTTGAAATAATAGCAGTCGAATAAGGTATTGATTTGTATTATCAAACTAAAATAACATAGATATAATAATCAACATATCAAGGAAAAAATTTTAAATTGATTATTCTGAGTTTTCGAATTCATTTAAATAAATTGAGGTTCCCTCTTTTTAGAATAACCTTGAGTGCATTCACTCAATAAAATACAGAGGAAATAGATGAAATCCTTACAGAGAACCTTAACGACAACATAGAATAGGATGAAGAGATGATGAAGATGCAAACTCTACTTATTATTTCAACTAATTTTATTAGGTCGTGATAGTAAGATTCTCAAGAATGCAAAATATGCTATTAAAATTATAATTTAGTTTCAAATGAAGCCATTGTCACTCCTTGTTGCTATGTTAAAGCTCATTCTTTTTGTTTTTAACAAAATTTAAATGTCTAAGCATAGGAAAGCTTTAATTTTCTGGTATTAATTGTTATATATGTCAGAAACAGCTATAGAATAACAAAGAGTACCTAAAACGAAGTATTTTTCCTTAAATTTATATTGAAGTAACAAAAAGGGAATTTTTAAAGATTAAATCTTTGATATGCTCTAAATGTTAATATCTATTTAAAATAGGCTAAAGTAACTAATAGCTCTAGATACTATGCTTAATCTTTAATACAAAATTTGTAATCTTTGTAAGAATATCACGGTCAAAACTTAAAAGTAGATTTGTATTATAATTAGAATGAATAATTGCCCAAATATTTTAATTGAATTCGGAAAGCACTTAATGGTGTTACATGTATAGTTTATCCATTCTGTTCGTTATTTCAAACAATGGATGAAAAATCAAACCATATACTGTTTGCTTGCAGGTCAGTTCTATGTGGAGATTGCTCTGTTGATAGACAACCAATATTGTGACATAGCAATCATTACCAGAGAGTGTGTTGTCCAGATTATGTACCATGGAAAATAAACGGCAAAGTAATTTTAGATCCAGAATTCGATAGAAGAAATTGTACTTATTGTAAATAAACAGGGAAACCATGTTAGTATTCAATAAGTTTGTAAGAGTACAAAAAATTAAAACACTTTTGATATTTTCAAAATGTATTAAAACAATTATAATCATCTGATAATAATCAAAACTAATTAGAGATGAGTCATCTTTACCCATTTCTTTTGCGAGCAGAAACCTAAATCAATTAAATAATTATTGGAAAACCTTTAAGGATACTAATCTTCTCTTGAGGATACTATTGCATAAAAGTCTGATTGCGATTAGACAAGGAGGAATAGTTTTTTGGTTATTTTGATAAAAAATTGTTTAGTAATTAAATTTATAAATTATATGTTTTTGGAGAGTGCTTATTTAAGTGCTCAAGAAAGGATCTTATTTTGATTAATTGGATGATTGTTATAGTATAGATCAGTTATAACTTATGAAGTATTTGATAATCGATTTCATACTTATTGTGTCTGATATTCCTAAATTTTTTCCAAAAGGAAATAATTCTAATAAAAGAAATTCATAATGCTAATGAAATTCTAATAGGTGGAAATAATTTTGTTGTTGTAGTATGTATGAAGAGAATAACTCTTTTCAATAATGAAGTCCTAAACTTACCTTTTTTGATCTCAGTATTCTATAAAGAAATTCCTGAAAAACTATTGAAGAAGTAAAAGAAGAGAATTCCTATTCAAAATGAAGATATCTAATCTAATCAAAATTTTATCTTCATTAATGGATTATGTGAACTTTTTATATATTAGCTAGGGTTTATGAAAATATAATGACAATTACAGGAATGATGGAAATGGTTTCTCATCTTAATTTAAATTAAGAGATCCCTCAACTTGTTTAATTTGAGAACATTCCTTCGAATATGTATAAACTCATGCAAAATCATACATTATATCACCTTGAGTCAAAAATATATTGCATAGTAGTTGTAAAGTCATGGAAATGAATCTCATTCTTATTATGTATGTAAAAACCATGTTCAGTAATCTCAAATATTATATTAAAATCCTATTCAAATGTTTTATAAGGGTTTCTAAAATTTTTTAATATTAGTTTAATAGAATTAAAAAATTTATATTTTGTTTTATATAAGAATTTTATCTCAAGAATATAAATTACTAATTGTTGAAATGAATGATGGTATGATGTAATATATGATTTCCAAACGTGCTTTTTCTCTATTAAATTGAACTCCTGCCATATATTTCATCTGTAACAGCAATTCATATCTATGTTTTGTGATATCAATTTTGATCTTTTCAGCTCCAGTTTGCTGAAACTTAAACTTAGATTTCATTAAAATATTTTATTAGATTATTTTAATTGGATTTATTCTTGGTAATTCAATATGACAGTTAAATATTCTTCTCACCAAAAGCATCGTTAGTCTCTATTTTTTTAATTTAATGGAAAACAATTTTTTATTGATAATACTAGAAAAGATTACTGTGATTTATTCATCTTTAACTTTTAATTTAATATCAAAGAAAATTGAACCACTCTAACGTTTATCCTTCAAAATGAACTATTTTATGTATTACCAAAATGAAAAATAGTTAACGAATAGTTATTCTTGGAGATTTAATAATAATACTCCTGTTGATACCTTCTATAAGTGATTACTAGAAAATAAAGGATGACCTAATAAATTAATTTCAAGTAGAACTTATCATATCTTAAATCTTCCATAGCATTAATTTCAGCCACCCAATAATTTTATACCTTGTCAGATCATGCATTACTTTTTGTTAAATTTTAATGCTAAAAAAGTTCCTCAATAATATAATACTTTTAATTCAATAAATTACTATTAATATTTTTTTAATTTTCTTCATTTCCTAATTTATTTTAAAAAATCTAAAGTAATGCTAATACAGATAATTCAAAGATAAATTATACTTAAACCTTGAATTTCTGAAATTTAGATATGGAAATAACTAAGACTTTTACCACTTAATAACGCATCCACTTCTAAACTCAAATAACTTCAATTTCGTCTTATAATAATTATGAAAACTCATATATTTGCTCATATATAGAACTTTTAACTCGAAATTATCAATCGATCAAACAGACTTTATACAGTTCTTTTCAACTTAAGCGAGGATCAAAACATGCTTGAACATCAACCATTAAATCCTTTATTAAAAGTCAAGATATTTTGCATTTTTATTGATTTTAATTCTGCTTTTCATACAACGAATAGAGAAATCCTCTACTCAATACTAAGCAATATGCATCTCCTAAAAGATTTAGAACTTGCATTTTAAATAATCTGCATTCAGACTTTCATTGCACCACCACACTTGCAAATGAAGATTTTACTCTGTATATCCCAAAAAATAAATTGGAAATTAAAAATGCAGATAATTTTTCATTTTATTTCATGTATTATATTAAGGCTCTGAGAATGAAACATAAAGATAGAAAAAAATGTATTACTAACTTAATAAAAATTATGGATCGAACTTAAAAAGGTCTGTGTCTTTCCCAAGCAATTAACCAATAAATATTAAAGAATTTTAATTCATCCTTTAGAAATATTAATATAAAAAAGCCCTTAAAAACTCGCTATAAATTGTATGTTTTATAAATTTGCTAGCATTAATCTATAAGCCATAATAAAAGGCTGCTCACCTAAGAATTTTAATATTTATTGAGATTTAGTAAGTTTTTGTCAGATCCAATAGATTATGTTACAGTATGATCTCAAATTATTATCATCCTAACTTACACATATCTGAATTATTGCTGTAACTATAAGGTAAGGAAGAAAGAAATGGTAATTAAAATAAGGATTTCTAAAAGGCCATGTAAAATTTCTAAGAACTACAACATCTAAGTGAAAATTGATTTGAGAATTTGAATTGCATTAAATTATATTAAACCAATGGTGTAACAAACAATTTGCATAATCTTATAATTTTTTTATACATGATATTAAATAAATACTAAGTATTTTAATCAAAATAAAATTAATACTTAATTTACAACCCAAATTTCCAACCAAACCTCCTTTTTAGATTAAATTTCATAATAAACAATACCTGCAAGAATATATGGGCAATCAAGAAGAATAGGTTTGGGAAAAAAATTGAAAGAAAGAAGGCTTAAAAATATGACCCTAGATCTATTCTAAGTTCAATTAAATATAGAAATTTATTCATTATAAGAACTTGTTAACATACAAAAAATATTAAAATAATTTAGTTCACCATTAAAAATAGGAAAATAAACGAACTTAATATTTAATCTTTATGCTTAAACATTAGATTTTAACAGCAGTGAATAAGAAAAATTTTGCATAAACAATTTTTATTAGAAGAAAATAGATACTCAATAGTTCCTGATCTATTCCTAAAGATTGATTCTTCCAATAGTTCCAAGTTAATTAATTTTGAAAGTAACGATAAATACTATCAAATAGTATTATATTTATGAAGCTGAAAAAAAATTTAAAGATATATTGTAATTCTCCAATGACTACTTGTATGAGTCTTGGATTTTTATAAGGTGAGATCAAGTTAATAATCTAAACTGAAAGATTTGCAAACACTATTTCTTCACTAAAAGTTCTTTTGTTCTGACAGCACATCACATTCAAAATCATTTCAAAATTTTCCATTTAATTAAATACTTATTATAAGTTCTGATGATATATCCAATACCAAAGTCATTTTTATAGTTAACTTTGAATTCCTTAGCGTGACTTCCCAAATTTTCACAAACCAGGTTTATTCATTTTTACTAAATTATTCAACCTTTCCTAAGTAATATGAGGATGGGATAATCTCCTTCCTTATTGCAAAACCTTCTTAATTTATTAATTTAATTGATTTTAGAATTCTTAGACCTAAATGTATTCATTAAGTTGAATCTTGCTTTTTTAAGTTAATTCAATATTTTATCCATATTATTGTGAAATTTGAGGAAAATTTAAGTTCTTTAGCATTATTTAACCCAACTACCTCCTTATTAGTATTAATTTCTTCAAATGGAAGAAAATCAAAATTTTTCTTACTTATCATATTAAGGATTACGATGCTATATGTTAAAAAAACAAGTTCCTACAATCATGAGAATATTATAAAACTGACTTAACCTTAACATCTTATTTTATAATACTTATGCTAAATTTAAGTAAACAATAATATTTATTTATTTCATTGAAAAGATAGCGGATCTTTGAAAGAAAGCATTATCTATAAAAAAAAATGATTTTCTGAAAAATGTATTAATGTATAATATTAAAGAAAAATATTATAGTAAAAATGTGTTGTATTTCTTTGGTGTTGTAGAAAAATATGATAACTCTTTACTCTATATTTATTCTTATTAATTTATGTTCAGGGGAAATCTCTTTCATTCCACTATATGAGACAATATATTATTTAGTTACTAAATTATAGCCCAATTCTCATTTCAAATAATTAAATAAACCTTAATTTCATAGAGACAGATATTATTTATTTTGTATTTGGATTAATATCTTAAAAAGTTTGACCACTCAATTTTTAATATTAGAATTAGAGAGTTATAGCTTTCACTTCTCCACACAAAGATTGATCACAAAGAAAGGATAAACACTTTATACGATTTCTGTCTTTGATTTTTAATTTTATTATCAATATCCCTTTAGACCAGCAGTGTAAGTTGCGAATTACTGAAAATTTTATCGCTCTGATTTTGTATGATTATAGCTGAGATAATTTTCATCTCTTCCACAATTTTAGATAATAATTTCTCCTTTTAAATTAACCCATATTAGTTTTAAGTTAGTTAATTGCCCCAAAAAATCTGAATCTTCAAATAGAAGATGTTTTTAAACACATTAACAAGCAAATCTACCCTTCTGGATCGATTGATTATGATGAGTTAATCACTAGCCAAAAAAGTCCAAATTTAATTAAAGTCCAGATAAAAAGAAAAAGAATAGTTGTAAAATATTTCAAATTTCAAAAACAACTTACCAATCATTTGTTATTCATTTATAAATATAATGCATATTGAATGTTGCAACCAAAGTAGATGAATGTAATGTTATTACCGTCATATTGATTATATAGGTTTTATTTTTCTTTGAATGATGATTTTAAATTGTGCCAAGTCTCCTATAATCTCTAACTTGAAAATAATAAAAACTATAGCTTAAATTAAAGAGAACATTAAAATTTATAATTTTAATGAAACCACAAAATTCAAAATTAATCTAGAAATATTTAGATAAATATATGAATTCAAGCAAATTATAATTCATAAATTTCACATTCTTTTATTTCTGGTTTATTCTATCCAAACAGATATGGATCATCATTTCCACCCTTGTATTAATTAAATTGATATGAATAACCTAAACGAGAACCACCATTAGTAAATTCACCTTATATTGTAAAATCATGCCCATATCCAAATGAAGGTCCTATACCTGAATGACAATAAATAGCATATTATTTTTGATCTGACTTCAAAGGATAAACTTAATCATGAGTTTATGAAAATATAAAAGATGATAATGTATTATCTTCTACCCATTTTCCGTCACATGATTCCCATTTAGAAGGAGAGTATGCACCAAAGATATAATCAGATTTTGATTAAAATACCATAAGTAAGTTAGCTTTACCATTCACTTTATTCCAATATTATTAATTATTTAATCCATCTTTTGTGCCCTAATAAATCAAAACTGATTATAACATTATTTTCTTAGTCTTCTCTTGTAAAATATAAAATATTTTTATCCACAAATCATCCTTAAGTAATTTTGGTTTTACTTACATCACGCAAGAAAGCCATCATCATATTTGATTCCTCTTTAAAGCTTTATATAATCCAGCTATACTATGGCCATTGATTTTGCCTCAAATTTCTTAATCCAAATCGATTTATTATCTGGATCTAACTCTATTTTTCTTAATTATTTGTTTCCTTTAGCTAAAGTAATAATAATACATTTAATGTGAATTTATGTTGATTCTTGGTGCTAATCCTTTGTATATGCGTCATCACAGTCCATTTATATCATTCTCTAACTGTTTATTGATTAATTTCATTTATTAATTCTGCATTTTTGTACTTTGCATGGAAAATTTACTTATTGTGCCTTACACATATTGTAAGATCTTACTATTTGTTAATCCAGTTGACTGTGTGGTCTTCATGTGTTCATTGTATGAGCAACATTTATATAACAATACTGATCCTTGCATTTCATCCATCCTTTATTCCTCAAGTAGAAATATGCAGATCCAGAAATGTGTCTGATTTTTAAGTAATATATTCTTTTTTTCAATTTTTATCATCTCTTTTTATTATTAGAGAATATAGTTTTTAAGTACAGTAAATCATGCAATGGAGTGATAAAGGAATTTTAATTATAGGAAGACTAACTTATGCACTTATTTTCGAATTTCAAGCAGTCGACACTTACTTTATGTAGCCATACTATATCAATTAAGTGTTTACATCTTATTCAAATTAAACCATTATCTGTTTTTAGTAAGTATCCTAAAAAGTTAATTTACCTCGTTTATGAAGGCTTATGGGTTTAACCTAATTAAGGGTTTGGAAATGCTAAAATTTAAACTAGGTGACTTTATTTAGTATTTAGGAGACTTCTTGACCAATAGTTTATAAGCATCATTAAATTAAAAAGTCAAAAACCATCTATTCTTTTATAAGTCAGTAATATGCAACAAGCCTGTAGTTTCAAATAGAATAACTATAGAAGACAAGGTAGTGGAGATGTTAAAATGAATTTCTAGTTTAATAAACTATGAGGAAGAGAGGAAATAGCAATANATGAGTTTATGAAAATATAAAAGATGATAATGTATTATCTTCTACATATCTTCGACACATGATTCCCATTTAGAAGGTGAATATGCTCCAAAGATTAATGAGTTTTTGATTAAAATACCATAAGTAAGTTAGCTTTACCATTCACTTTATTCCAATATTATTAATTATTTAATCCATCTTTTGTGCCCTAATAAATCAAAACTGATTATAACATTATTTTCTTAGTCTTCTCTTGTAAAATATAAAATATTTTTATCCACAAATCATCCTTAAGTAATTTTGGTTTTACTTACATCACGCAAGAAAGCCATCATCATATTTGATTCCTCTTTAAAGCTTTATATAATCCAGCTATACTATGGCCATTGATTTTGCCTCAAATTTCTTAATCCAAATCGATTTATTATCTGGATCTAACTCTATTTTTCTTAATTATTTGTTTCCTTTAGCTAAAGTAATAATAATACATTTAATGTGAATTTATGTTGATTCTTGGTGCTAATCCTTTGTATATGCGTCATCACAGTCCATTTATATCATTCTCTAACTGTTTATTGATTAATTTCATTTATTAATTCTGCATTTTTGTACTTTGCATGGAAAATTTACTTATTGTGCCTTACACATATTGTAAGATCTTACTATTTGTTAATCCAGTTGACTGTGTGGTCTTCATGTGTTCATTGTATGAGCAACATTTATATAACAATACTGATCCTTGCATTTCATCCATCCTTTATTCCTCAAGTAGAAATATGCAGATCCAGAAATGTGTCTGATTTTTAAGTAATATATTCTTTTTTTCAATTTTTATCATCTCTTTTTATTATTAGAGAATATAGTTTTTAAGTACAGTAAATCATGCAATGGAGTGATAAAGGAATTTTAATTATAGGAAGACTAACTTATGCACTTATTTTCGAATTTCAAGCAGTCGACACTTACTTTATGTAGCCATACTATATCAATTAAGTGTTTACATCTTATTCAAATTAAACCATTATCTGTTTTTAGTAAGTATCCTAAAAAGTTAATTTACCTCGTTTATGAAGGCTTATGGGTTTAACCTAATTAAGGGTTTGGAAATGCTAAAATTTAAACTAGGTGACTTTATTTAGTATTTAGGAGACTTCTTGACCAATAGTTTATAAGCATCATTAAATTAAAAAGTCAAAAACCATCTATTCTTTTATAAGTCAGTAATATGCAACAAGCCTGTAGTTTCAAATAGAATAACTATAGAAGACAAGGTAGTGGAGATGTTAAAATGAATTTCTAGTTTAATAAACTATGAGGAAGAGAGGAAATAGCAATATCATTCTCTGGAAAGCATTCTTTTATAATGAGAACTTGAAACTCCTAGTTAAACTAATAGCAAAATAGTAAGAGAACAGATTAATAAGGGGATAATGTGGTATATGAAATAAGCTAAAAAATAACTTTAATTGTTATTTTTAAGGAAGGATTTAACATCCAAATAAAATGTAACTTATTCCATTGTTAAGAATGAAGATTCGCTTGTAAAACAGCCACAGTATTCAATTTATTAGAGAAGAGAATTTTCACCTTATACTATATACAGTAGACAATATCACTCTATTTTTGTAAAGTCTTGCCTATTAATAAATACCTTGAGCTGCATATCTTTGAAACAGCAAGTATACATGTTGAATAGGAAGCTTCTTAGAGTTTGTTGATCTGATTACATCTTGCCTTTTATAAACAAAGTTTCCATTCCTTTAAAATGTGATAGAAGAGTCATAAATGAGGTTCTTTACTCTGAAATTTACTGTTGGGGTTTGTGCAGACCACCCTTATAAATTTATGGAATTCACTTATAACTTCCTCTCTTATTAGGTTTTCTGAATTATTTTTGAGTGTTAAAATACTTTTAAAACATTATTTGACTTTGAATTCTAAATTTCTTTTCTAAATGCTTTAGTTTATTACTAATTTTAGAGTAGATTATACGTAACAAAGCATAGACAGAATTAGATAGTGAGTTGAGCGATAGAATGAAAAATTTGAAGATTAGATTTTAACAAAGGAGAGTAAGATTTAAATGAGTGGATGATGAGCTCAAAACTTCTAGTCTTGCTGAGACTAGCTTAACAAAGAATGAAGTTGAGGAATTGTTTCATATAAATTGATTAATTTTATTAAAGATTCCTATTAAGAAAATGGGTACCTAACAACAGGGAGAATTGTCAACTTTTTGAATTTAAAATTTTAGAAGAGAGCAGGCAATTTATAGCAGCTTCAGCTAATGTTGATATGATGAAAGAGTCTATTGATAAAACATTGTAATATAATAATGCAGTAAGCGTTAGTATTATTCTAAGTTTGATAATTAGAAAATTAGAAGGAATCACAAAGTTGGCTATGCATTCAAGCTACTCTGAACAAAGAATCATTATATCATAAAATCAAACTGTAGAGTAATAATCATTTAAGGGTAGTAAGAGAAATGATTTTATTAATTCTTTCAAATTATTAAAATTATTACAATGTAAATACCAAAGGAAATCATCAAAATTTCATCTAAAAATAATCAAATTTTGAAATATCATTATATATTTTAATCGCTTTCAATTTATTATTGAAATTCATGAATTCAATAAAAAAACAATTAGAAATCTTTTTGTTCTTCTTTAATAAGGTTTTTAAAGGATCTACAGTTTTAAGGTCATATGCATGTCGTTATTCCTATCATACTCCAAATTTATTTTATTGCTCTTCTTTGAGAGAGTTATCATTTTTACTGCAAATTATTGTGTACTCAATCTGAAAATTCTTAAGTTTAATTTAGTTTTCAGCCCATTTTCTGACATATAAAATAAATTAAACGTCTCTCTGTAATAATAACTAATAAAAACTTATTAAATATAAAGCTCTTTATTTCATAATTCATAAACTTATAAAACATTATTCTGAATTATTGTAGATAAATAAGAAATCATTTTAAAATTGTTTTTCAAATTAACATTTCTTGCTTTTTCTTCATCAACATTTTAATAGGAGTAGCGCATAATCTAAAATAAATTTATTTGTTTCATCCGATAAATTATACAAAACCAGACAATCAATCTCATTAATGATTGTGATTTATATTCTCTTCCATAATTCCTTGTTTCAACAGGAAGGACAGATGAGATGATATAAAAATCGAGAAAAATATGTAAGGAGGTGCTATTAATGATAAAGAAAGAAGGACATCTATACTTTGCAGCGAATACTAAGATTGAGTAAAATTTGAGGAAGGAGAATCAAAGATTTGGAGACTATGAAATTATTTGGAATAGAAACTTAGATTGGGGACTAATAAATATGAATGTAAATTAAAAGAGCATTTAGTTATTTTAAGTTCGATAAAATGATGTAAAATACTAAGGAGATTATAAGAGGTACAGATAAGGAGGAGGTTATAATTAACATCTCATATGCAAATAAGAAGATTAATTTAGAGACATAAAATATTTGAATAGGTCAAAGCAGAATGGTACTAGAATACCAGTATAACAATCAAAATTAATTGAGAATTCTTTTGACTTTGGGTAGATTGATAGCGTAGAATGGATATAAAAAATGGATGACATTTGTGATGAATTTTGAACTAATATACGTTATTCAATTAAATGGGACTTCACATTTAATCAATAAAAGATATGAGACCTATTCTGACATAGAAAAAAAATTGGATTTAAATTATGTGATCTACTTCACAGCTAGGCCTTAGAGAGTAAAGATAAAATTATTGCTGAGCTAAAGTGTATAAAATTTAAATCAATTTTTGGGACACAAAAGTTGAAAGAAAAGTTTTATTAAGAGACTGAAAACCAAATTCATCCAATCTATAAAGGTTCAACTTTATTCATTACAATCATATTGTTTAAATGAAATAAGCTAGTTTTTCCAATTCATTAACTATCCCAAACAGATATAGAGGATCAGGGAAAAATAATGTATATGTTTAGCTTTA